AAGATGAATACTCGGAGGACGTCCATCCAGTGAGATGAACGTCGTAACTTTCTGCCTAATCGAGATGTGTACATTTCAGATCCCGGCGCCTGCGGGGAGCTCGGAGTGGAATCCTTGTGACGCACCGTTGGGTACGACCTTGAGTCTCCTGCAGATCCAGCTAACTTAGATATCAGCGAAAGGAGCGCACAAATGCAAGCTTGGGAGGCATTACCAACTACACGCGCTATTCATAGCACGCTGACGCATTGATTGAAGCAACATCCAGGTTCATAGATTGCTACTGCCTGGGAGGATAAGGAAAACCGACAGATCCGCGCGGACAAAGAGGAAATAAGGTGGATCACATTGTCTAGGACTGTCGTCGGGAGGAAGATGTCAAGTGTAGGATCCAAATTTTGCCTCTTGAGTCCTTCCACTGCCAACATGATCTTGATAACGCTCTTGCAGTAGATGAAACGTGTGTGGGCCTATGAAAATTTGGAAATTGCTAAAAATTCCAATAAATTTCAGAGGTGTCCTCGCTGTCCCAAAGTGTTTTATCCGTTGGTCGGAATTTAGTGGTCGGTGGAGAAGGACGGCGGGAAGGCAACTTTTTTTGGTCCCGCAGTCACAAACGTGCGCATGGGGACTGGGCCCAACCCTTGATCACATCACGTTTGCTCCGATTCAAACCATATAGATATACGCTGTAATGGATCTTTGGTGGGACCTTGCTTTGCCTTCTCGATCATGTCAACCCCAAAGCTATCTTTGAAGCAGCGAATTCAAAGCGTTTCGCTCATTTTTGCGTGCGTGTAAATCATTCCCAGTCGATTTCTGGCACTCACGCGACCTCAAAATCTAGGTGTGGGACAGCTCTTTTCAGTGATGGTGGGCTTGGGACTTGGCTTTCTTGGCTGGCACGTTTGACTGACGACGAGAAAAGGGTATGCCAATGGGATCATAGGCTCTGGTTCGTCCTCCACTCTATTGACCGATTGTGGCTGTTACTTATTGAAATGCTCGTGTGAGCAGTAAACACCACCTTGAGACGTATTTACGGTGACGATGCCATCGAAAACCATAACTATATTACAGTTGTCAGCAGTCTGGCTTTTGCTGGGACTGTCGTTGGAATGCTGGTGTTTGGTGCGTCTTCATTAATATTGTTAATAACAACGACACCTTGACTGACCCATTCCTAAAGGCTGGCTCTCGGACAAGATCGGACGCAAGTTTGGAATGGCGAGTCACCTACTACATTCGCAATGAATCACTCAAGCCTTACATCTGTGACACTAGATGTCGGCCACCGGAATCGTCGCTCTTTTCTCGGGGCTCTCTGCAGCATCTAGCGGCGCAAACCACAGTCTTGGAGGTATGCTTGCCATGCTCAGTGCATGTCGGTAAGTGATGAAAGCCCCACTCAAATGATGATACTAACGATAACAGTTTCCTGTTGGGTATTGGTGTTGGAGCGGAATATCCTTGTGGCTCTGTGAGCGCCAGCGAACAGACCGAAGAGCCAGGAGTCAGCAAGAGGGCCCAGCACCGTTGGTTTGCCCTTGCTACTAGTTAGTTCCGGTGCTCCTCTAGCGATTTATAATACTAATATCACTACAGACAGCATGATTGATTTCGGTTTCGTGATTTCGGCATTCGTCCCACTGGTGCTTTTCTGGATGTGGGTGGTTATTTTAGTTGCCATGCGATTTGTTCTTATCGTTATTTCGGAACTAGCTTTGGAAATAACCATCTCCGCGCGGTGTGGAGACTTTCACTCGGTTTAGGTGTGGTACCAGCTTTACTGGTCTTGATATGGCGAATCGGCATGAAAGAGCCCGAGCGCTACCGACGCGACTCTATGAAGAACGCCAAAGTACCATACATGCTGATTCTCAAACGTTACGGAGGTTCTTTAGCTGCCATTTCCTTCACCTGGTTCCTATACGACTTCATCGTGTGAGTTCCGGCTTTCATTCGATATTGAAAAAAGACCGACGCCAGCGGTGTCTTTCTGTTTAGATACCCCGTAAGTGGTTTTCCATTGAATTAGAACACCGAGATTTACCATACATTGTTAGTTCGGAATCTACTCGTCCGTCATTGTCGACAGGTGTGTTCCCAGCATTTTTGGTGCAAAGTTTTGAGCCTCATGGTTCACTAGGGTGACAGGCGGTGATTCCGCCTTGAGCGTCGTATTCGGATGGAACGTTGTCATCAAGTGGGTATCTTGTTCTGCGCGAAATGACTTTCCAAATTCACAAATCCCGGTTTGTTCGCAGTTTGTTCTACATGCCTGGTGGGTCCTGTGAGTTTCTCCGTATGTCGCCAAGCTAATTTGGGTTGCGCGGACAGGCACATTGGGTGGCGCTTTCTTAGTTGATTATCTCGGTCCCAAAAATACAATGGTGATCCCTCTATTATTCTCGATTCGGCAAACGAAGGTTTTAAAGTATGTTGCGCCAGATTACGGGTCTTCTCTGTCAAGCTGCAATAGGATTTATCATGAGCGGGGCCTATACACAGTGAGTCTCTGCTGTCAACCCGGTTGTTTTTCTTCCTGATCATGAGTCGCCACTAAACAGATTAACGGAACATGTTGCTGCCTTTGCTGTATGTCATCGTCGACAGGCACCCCACTACGTTTTTCTTGTGACTCATATCTACATTCTCCCTTTTTGACAGGTGGTGTATGGCATTTTCCTCAGTTTCGGTGAACTGGGTGAGTGCGCCAATCTTTGGGTCCTCGAGACCCTTAAATCTCACCGAATTGCTGTTGATTTTTTCCGATTTGTTGACAGGTCCGGGGAATTGCCTTGGCCTTTTGGCAAGTAAGAGTTCCCCGACTGCTGTACGGGGTCAGTTTTATGGTGCGGCGGCTGCCATCGGGAAAGTGGGTGCATTTGTTGGCACTTGGGGTGAGTCTTTCAGCACCTGCGACATGGGCGGTGTACCGATCTTGAACCCTTTCCGTAGTATTCCCTGCGATAAGTGATGATGCGACCAGGCGTATGTGGCTCTACTCGATTTCTAAAATGTGGATTATGAACGGTTTCTTAATCTGTCAGGTTTCGGAACGAATGCGAAGGAAGTGAACACTATACCATTCTGGATTGGGAGTGGCCTGGCGATCCTGAGTGCTCTCACCACGTTATTCTTCATTAGGCCTTTGAGCCACGACGGTATGACTGAGGAAGATGCCAAGGTGTGTAGGTCTCGCCACAGTACGCTATCGTTCTGACATTGACATAGTTCCGCGAATATCTCGAGCAACATGGATATGATACCTCGCAGATGGGTCTTCCAGGGACGACGAGCGAGACCACAATTACTGATGACACATCTGAGGACGAGAAGAAGGTTGCTGTTTGATTCATCTTTGCTTGTGTCCACACCCTAACGATTGTCTGGCTCTGTGACGACCTCAATGACCATCATGCTGCTCTACTTGTACACGTGTACCAGGAATCACCCTATGGCGTATTGATTGTGCGGAAGGAGGTCTAATTGACCTGTTCTTGGAAAACATCAAGCCAATCGATGCAGTGGAGATGATCGGGCCGTACACAGATCCTATGAACGCGCTGGTTATGGAATCATAATCGCCGTGAGTAATGCGTGGATGTGAATCAACGCATGCAAGATCTAAGAACCGAATACGGTCGCGTATCAACAACTTTCTGACGCTTGCACAGGTCAGACTGAGCAAACCAAGAAGGTTGTACTTTCGAACACTCACCCGCTTCAGAAATCTCTTCACCCGTCACTTCTTAGCGATCATAAGGACATTTGTTGATAAAGACCCCATTTCGTATCTGCGTGAGCATTATGAAAGAGGGCTACCGAATTTGGCCTTTGTTGTTACATTCTTCCCGGAGATTGCGGGTTGACACCAACACCCTCGGCCGGTTTGAAGAGGTACATGAATGCGGTGGCATCGTCTTGCTCGTTGTTTCTGAGTCTACCACCGCAGTATTTAGATGCCCATTTGACTCCTTCGGATGGACTGATTATTATTCCCTATGACTTGATGTCTGTGTTGAGCAATGATAGCGTTAGAGCCGTAAGGGGCGACGATGTCTGAGGTTGGCATACTGGTCAAGCGGTGCATCCATATACCACCTAGGTTCACGAGTGCCTGCCACCCAAATTTTCCAGGTTGCATCAAGAGTTAATGTTTGAACTGTAGATCCAGACCTTCTCAATCAACTAGAGGGTTTTATGAAGCATTAGATTCATATACGGGTCTTCTGGTAAACGGATCTTTGAGGCTACCACCGTCGCATTCACTATCAAGTCCATGGTTAAACTGGTGTGGAAATCCCGAGCTATAGCAACACTTTAACCAGGAATTTGGACGTTTGCACACAATTCATGAGCTCAAGTATTTGTATACTGGTGTTCCTACTGATTATGGCCGAGATGAATTGTGTGGCATGGTAAAAATACAGTCTCGTCGGAATCCTCATCTGTGTCTATTGCTGCATTGCTGTATCCCCTCCACTGCCTTTGGTTTTTGCTAGTTCATTCCTATATCTCTGTAAGCCTTTCATTCCTCGTGAAAGAATGGACAGAGCGCACCTTAGCTGAACACTAAAATCGTCCTCAATGTCATCATCGTCCCAGTTATCCTCCCAGAGCTTGTCTCCTCCAGATTTGGCAGCGCCCGGTGCCTGACCACCTAAATGTGCGAGATCGGTTTCGCTATCACTCCAATCTGTATTTGCGATGTTACTTGGTAAGAAAGAGGGCGAATAGCTTGTGACTTACTCGCAGCAGCGAATTCCTCAAATTCATCGTCTTCTTCTAGGACGCCAAGGTGAGGACGAGCTTCCTCTTCTTTTTGTTGCTCATCCGTCGGAGGCTTGGCGTCGGATTTGGGTTTGGAGGACTGGGCTGTTGAAGAGGACATGGTAGTTCGAAGCAAAAGTTGACACCACGGTGACGCGTACGCGTCAATGGCTGACAAATACGTCTTCTGTCTATAGTGCATACAAGTTCCTCATCATGCTGTAGGCCGCGTAGCGTAATGGTTAACGCGCTAGTTTCCGGCAGATATTGTGGAGTAGCTAGAGATTCTGGGTTCGAGTCCCAGCGTGGTCGTCAGAAGAGTCGTTGGACTCGCTTTTTACTGCAATCACACTTGCTTTGCATGAAAGTCCTGGGGCACTCGTCATTCTACAGTACACTGTAACTCTATGAATTGCTTAGTAATGTATGGTACGAATGGTTCGAGCTTAAGAATCTGACTTTGGGATCAGCATTGCGGCTATTTGAACGAAATGGAGCAACGTACTAAGGGCCAAAGAAAACGCTGCCCGTGGTACTCTCACCAATCCTAAGCACACACCCAGCCTTGACAGCGATTCGAGGTACGTGTACTCCCAGTGCTCAGCCAAGTCCTGCGTAATAGAGTGGCTTCAAACAAAAGAGGCATCACTATACGGTAACCAAAAGGAATATGGCGACTTACATCTCCCTCAAATGATCCTCAACCGATTTCAAGCCGTCCCTGAAGTTACAGTGTTTGCACCGGTGAATGCGTTCCCCCTTTCTCATGTTCAACAGAGACGGGATGTATCCAGTCGAGACGCCTGATTCTTCAGCCGTCACTATGGCAGAGTCTTCTTCATTGATAGTCGCTAGTTCGTGATGTACATGGCCATGGACAAGCTGTAACGAATTCAAGAACAGTATCTGTTTCATGGTGACGTATAACTCACCGCTTGAGCCCATCTTAAGAATGTGCGGCTCCCAGACGTGGCGCATGATTTGCACTCCATGATTGGATTGAGCTCTGTGATCATCCGTGATGAAGTAGTCAAGGGATCGAGGGAGTACAAGTAACAGACGTCACGGGTACAATTAGCTGCTTCCGACGCGTACTCGAAATTGCAAGTAGTAGCAGGTTCACGAAAGGAAAGGCCTGTCTCGATGCCAAAGTATTCGTAATCGCACCACGCTGGTAAAGAAGGAGTGGCAAAGATCGAGCGATGACAATGGTGCGATATAATTCCGGGATACAGATAAATAGCCGAGGGACAATGTTGGTTTTTGCATCGAAATAGGGACGTAGCGGTGTAGAGATCTTCTGCGGTAGCATCAGGACGATGTTCTCGGAGGGCTCTGAGAGATTCTTCCGTCCTCTGGCGATTCCAGTCTTCGATGAACTGAGGTAGCACCATCGTGGCCTCCTCGTATAGGGATATGTCTGCGCCAGCCTCTAAGGGTAGGTCCTCAATGACACTTCTGAATGGTTCCCAGAACGCAACATCGATGTCAAGAGGCATGACCATAGTGCTGGGTAAAGTAACCTCCGCTGTGCGTAGTAATTCGTCAAGAAGTTTAAAACGTTCTCGCGATATCTTCTTCCTTTCCTTGTCAATGCGAATGGTTCGCAGTTCGTCCATAAACTCGATTAACGTTGCTTCTATATTCTTCCAGACTGTTGATAGTTAGGTCGGATCAAGAACAGTAGAACTCAACGTACTACGTTCAGTCAGCAGTTTCGGCTGCTTCACCAACTTATGTTGGGACAATCGAGTAAGGAATTCCTCGTGAGCCAGCTCTTCTCCCCATCCAGCATTCTCTAATTTAGATACAATCCTAAGGTGGGAAGTGGGTATCAGCACACGCATTTTTTTCGTAGAGATGTATACAACACATACGCATTGAAACGAGATTCTCGATTAGAGTTCAGCTCCTGTTCACGATCATCTGCACGATTAATATCCCATTCAATGCATTCACTGATGACCTGCGGTAACCCAGTCAGTCGTTGGACGCGTGGTGTAATGCAGCACAAACCTTCTCTTTCTCTTCGTGTTCCTTAAGTTGAATGGCTTTCAGCTCGTCGACTTCTGTTGCTTCGATGGCAGAAAACTCGTCAGACAGCTTTTGAGCTGCTTGCTCAGAGTATTGGCGAGTGACTATATGTAGAGAAAGTTAGTAATTCGTGAAAGAACGCAGATAAGCGACTACGCACCCCACTGGAAGGGATCGTCTGAAAGGTATGGTAATGTCTTCCATAATTCGCGGGGAAACACAAAATCATATCGATATACAGTGTCGACAGCAGATATAGCGAAGCTGTTCAAATTTTTTGGCATAAGACATAGGAGGGCATTATCAAGAAACGGATCGCACTGATTGGGTTGACATCGCTTGCAGCAACGAGCGAACGCGCCCCAGCTGATCTTCAGGACTTTGGACTCATTACAGAACTGTTACCCAATCATCAGTATACATCTTAGTATGAGAGAAGAGCTGAAACGACCCACATTACAGAATGGATAGAAGGCGAGCCTTGCAATAGCTGGCTCGTTCATATACTTTGAGAGCGACCTGGGAACACCAGCATCCGCCAATGAGGTCTTCCAAACACTTAGTGACGACCGAGACATGAGAGTTTGACGAAGTTTCTTGGTTGTCCATGACAGGCGCAGGAGGTCGTAGGGCTTAAGATGTCCAAGGATCTGTGTCAAATAGAGCTCAGCCACACCATATCGCGTAAAGGGGGCACCTCCCACCTCGTAGATGACGTCCAAAGGTAAATCCATCATCGAATGCAAGGAACGGCCACGGCGAGCTTTCGGCTTTGCAACTTCTAAGCCATGGTTCTCCTCAGTCCCTTCCTTGGTCTGTTGGACCTTTCGCCTTTTTGCCATTGGAGCCCGGTTTTAAAATTGGGGTGTTTGGATTGGGCTATCTGTGAGCCGTTGAATCTGAGTAGATGGTGGTGGTGGTGGTGGTGGTGGTGGTGATAGCGGAATGAGTGAGAGTTTGACGCGGGAGTTACGCGGGAGTCTCGGTCAGACAAGCGCACCGTGCACGTGCTTCAGTCATCCAGCTCTACTTGAAGTTCCTAGCTTTCAAATTTCAGGAACTGGTAACAATGTATAGTACATACAACCGAGTATCATAACACTAAAGAGAGCGATTAATTATCACGACCAGAAAGTATCCTTCCTGGAACACTCCCAAGCCATTTCGTACTGCTCGTCCGTGTGACAAACCAATATCCTTTTCTCTTCTTGATCTCGACTACTGATATCAACTACCGCCCCTTCCGACCTCTCCATCTTCCCATTATCCACTCCTGCATAGCCTAAACACCCAATCCAATCCCCAACCACCTCCCTCAGCTCATTCGACCTCTCACCGATACCCCCAGCAAACACTAACGCATCCACCTTCCCGCGTAGCTTGAGGTGGTATGAGCCAATGTAATTGATGATACGGTCAATGAAGAGGTCGAATGCGAGTTTGTGCGAAGGAGAGGAAGAGGAAGTGATTACACTGAAATCCGTGGTTCCAGTGAGGGCTTTCCACCCGGATTTGGAGTTGAGGATATGTTCAGCTTGTGTGACGCGCAGTTCGACACCAAGACTGGGATCGTGACTTATTCTTCCGGCACGATTAGTGTAGTGAAAAATGAGGGAGGGGTCGATAGCTCCAGAACGTGTGGCACTAGTTGGAGTGTTAGCGATGGGAAAAGAAGAGGTAGTAGGTAAGACATACCCTGGTAAACCACTCACAGGTGTAAGCCCCATCGAGGTGTCAAGAGATTTGCCATTCTCTATTGCACATATTGATGCACCGGAGCCAAGATGCAATACGATGAGGTTCAGGGATTCAGGCGGTCGCTGGAGAAACCGCGAGATGGAACGGAGAATGTAGGCATCTATGAAAAGGGATTTTATTTAGTGTGCATAAACGAGACGCCAAGTGAGGACGTACAACTTAGACCATGGAAACCATACTTCTTTAATCCACGCTTCGTGGCAATAGTTTGGTCAATGGCATAGCTGGAGATATAGGAAGGCATAGAACAGTGGAAAGCAGTGTCGAAGAATGCGATAGAGTTGGCGCTGGGGAGATCGTGGATACAGGCTTTGATAACGGACAAGGCAGCACCATTATGTCTGTACGAAAGGATCGAGTCAACAACGACATGTGTATGTAGCGGGAAAAGAACTTACAGAGGAGCCAGATCGGAGAGCTTCTCGATGTGGTGGTACGTTTCGTTGTTGATCACGACGGGATCGTGATAACTCCCGCCATGTACTATTCGGTGACATATGTGGACGATATCGTTCGGGTCGAGTTGTTCTCGGAGATGTTGAAGGAAATGCGCAAAAGCGCCAGCATGATCGTGTATGGAAGTGACTGAGGACTCCTTGACCGATTCACTAAACGTAAACTTGGCTGGAGGCGATGAGATATTGGAGATGCTCGAGGTTAGAACGAGCTGGACGGGATCATCAAGGCTGTCGCGGTCGACAGAGTAGAGGGAGATCTTGAGAGAAGAAGACCCTGCGTTGACTGAGAGAACTAGTTTCTTGTGTTCCATTTCTGATGAAATTGGATTGGGTCCAGTCAGTTAATGTATAATCGGATTGGTCGGAAGTGGATGGCTCACATGAGAGGCTAGAGACTTGCTAGAGACCACTAGAGACCACTAGAGGACCTAGAAAATATCTAGAATCCAAGGAACAAGAAATGACAAGAATCTGACAAGACCTTCAAGTCTCAGGGACAGATGAGCGGGATGTCGGGATATGGAATGCGGTTGAATCGGTAGTGACTTCACGTCTTGATAGCACACTGGCGTAACGAGCTAGGTCATGGTGAAACAGTGATTCCCCTTGGAATTTGGCGTTGTGCTACGTTTCTCTGTACTTTTTATTTGAGAAAAGAGCTTGGGAGAGCTTGGGATCCATGTGCGACAGGAAAGCGTTGGAGAACGTGGTGGACAGGTGATGGTTCTAGACACGGATGTCTGGACTTTGCAAGTGAACGTGAGTCTGGAATTTCGGGTGTTGCCGGCAGTTTCTTGCCCTTGGTATATAAACCACCTCAATCATGAAAGTAAGAGTCAAAGTCCTCGAACATGCCCGCTCAACTATTATTCCAACCAAATCCTCCTCCAGATCCTTCCCAGCTTGACGATGCAATCCTGAATTACAGTGTCAAGCTAGACACCAAGAACTATCTCTCTGATGAAGAACTCAAGTCTGTTCAATCCTTCAGGAGAGCTGCTGATTATATCGCGGCTGGTGCGTTGATGATTGCCTTTTTCCTCGAGTTTTACTTATGCATGG